TAATTCTATAACAAGTCTTCTAAAATCAACTATTTATATGTATATCTGATTTTGTTATGATCAATGATGGCATTTATATTATAGGTACAACAATTTTTATGAGGAATTAAACTTGAAGCTTTCAAGACAATGTCTCTGTGACTCATGTGTCCTGTTCACCATGACCTTGACCTTTGCTGTATTGACAAGCCATGTATCTTCGGCTGATCTTTTGTAGTCATCCCAAAATTAATGCTGGTACACAAAAATCTTTTACCATTTTTCATATTTGGGGTATTGTATCTAGCAACTCTACACAAGTAGATAAAGTAACTACACACAGGTAGATACAGTCAAGTTGTTGAACCATTATTTTTCTGCATCATTCTAGCTTCCTGAATCACAGTTTCGTCACAATAATCTTCAAGAAAAACAGTAGCCAAGTTCTTTAACCTAACATTCTTCGACAGTGATAACCTCATCATGCACTGTAATACGGGCAAGCATGTTATTTCTGCACGAGACTCTTTGGTGACAAGATACATTAGAGTTGCCACAGCAGATAAAACTGTGTCTTCTGACAGAGTACCTTGACAGGCACCCTATCACCAATTTAACACCTCCATTATCAATTATGTGCTTCCTGTTCTCCTTTTCAGCACTTGCGTTACACAAACCTCCCACTGCAAACTCAACAAGTTCTTCATCGGATTCTTCCAGGCCATCAAGGAATAGATCAAGTATATTCAATGTTTTAAAATGTTCGTAATTTATTGGATCATAAGCAAAGTTTGCAAGGTTTGCCATAATCTGTTTCTTGGCTTCAATGTCATCGGTGTTTTGATATTCGTTGACCAGTGACTGGAGGTAATTAAATCTCCCTATGCCATAGGGACCTTCTTTTCTTTTCAAGGTAACTCTTTGAACTGAAAATCTTTGTTTAAATCTGAAATTAAAAAAGAGAAGGATAATCTCTTTATAATTTATCGTAAGTTGTTACGTGCTTAACTTACCAATCATAAATTATGTAAGCAAGGATTTACTTGATGCAGGATCCATGCATTAATATATCCATCAAAAACCTTTCTGGTGCACATACAGTTCTCAAGCTCTTGAGAGTATGCATAAATATATAGTGCTGGTTTCACAGATCTTGCTCAACTTTATATTTAGTAAAAAAAAACTGCAGAACACACATTTTTGTTACATATAAGATAAAATAAGTTAAAGCTTGTATTTAGTAGTGAGCTTGAAGAGCTGGCCCAAAGGTCCTGCTTGCAAAGCCACTTTTACGGTAATGCGAGTACCTGCTAGATAGTGATGGTTTAGAAAACTTTAGTCCGAAGTAGTCAATTGACACATCGCAACTTTTCGAATTACAAGATAACGATAAAAGCCGAGGTATTCTGATTAAAAACAGAAGAGTAGACTGGTGTCCTGCGCATTTATATAGGAACCATAATAAGACAGGCATACATGTGAACTCTCCCACTTTTAGCGAGAGACTCCCACTTTCTGCAGCCATATTTTCAAAGATTTTTCTTAAAATAAGGGGTATTTTCACAAATTAAAGAAATCTCCCTATTTTTGATGTCAGAACTTCCTTCTTTGTTTATTGCAAATTCTAAAATCTCCCTATTTTTGAAGAACTTCTCCCACTTGATCATCAAAAAAGTTCACATGTATGGACAGGGAACTAGAATAAACGGAAGCAGTGTATAAAATACCGAATGACAATTTTAAAACGGAAAATGTAAAATAAAAAATGAACAATTATTTTATACTATTTCACAGTAAAAGTAAATCAAGCTCGCTTTGCGGCATTGCCTTTTTCATATTAAGGATTTAGACTGCTAGAATTAGTTATAAGACACCATGAATTATTGATTGATCTCCCTGTATAAATGGTTAGACCCCTAGCTTTAATTTAATAACAAAACCTGCATACATTGGACCCCTAAAAATTGACCAGTGTTGACTATGAGGTAAACCATTCATGTAACTTGTAAGTTAAGATGTACAGTTATAGAGACACAAAAACCTCCTAACCATCTTTAAAGAGGCTGATTCAGATCTATACTTGTAACAGAGAGGTATATATTTTGACTCTTGAGAAGAAAAATACATTTATGCTGTTAAATACGGGACAAACAAATTATAAACCCAGTGTGCCATATCCGAAAATCCTACACTTCAGTGCTTATCTCGCGAAAACATATGTCAGTCAAAACTGTTGCATGTAAAGTTAAATATGTGACACTTAAACTATTTAATTGCTAATATTGTAATAGAATATACTAACCTAGATTTCTACATAATAGATAATTTTGCGCAATCTGCAGTTGCCTATACAAAAATGTTCATGAGAAAATTTAGGTAGCACTCCACACTAAATTTCAAGTTTCTGACGTCAATGTCCTACAAGCAATATGTCTGATAAATCTGATCCCAAACTACACAACCTGGAAAAAGAAAACACATTTTGTTAAGAACATATATGTCATACCATTGCAAATCTGTAATGAAATCATCCCATGTGCAACAGTCAGGCAGTTAAAAAAAATCCAATTCATTCCGTAAAAGCCAAAAATCTATAGTGTTCCGAGACCCAAAACAACATTTTTCGTCCCTCCGGCAAAAAATACCTGCAAATATACGGTCTACAAAAACTCTGTCACTGCTTTAGCAACTCCCTATGCATGCAAAATATCACAAAGAAATAGGTGCTTTGCATTGTAGATTTTTTGCTATTGCTGAAAGTTTGTACCCCCTGTAAAATTACTTGTTTTCACCGAGCATGCTGTTTAAAAGCAATGTTTACAAACAATGGCGACCTTGACATACATAATTATCAGCATGTGATTTCTAACCATGTTTTCGAATTTGCCAATGATCATATTACATGTCACAAAAACAAATTTCATGCTGAAAATGCATTTTAAAGACAACCAGTCATTTAAATCCACAATAGTCACTATATCCATGAAATCCCTGGCCATTCGAAGCTGTGGCTTCATTTAGTGTGGTGTGCTGCCTAATGACTATTTCATTTTTCACGACGTGTAAAGGCAGCACACCACACTAAATGAAGCCACAGCTTCGAATGGCCAGGGATTTCATGGATATAGTGACTATTGTGGATTTAAATGACTGGTTGTCTTTAAAATGCATTTTCAGCATGAAATTTGTTTTTGTGACATGTAATATGATCATTGGCAAATTCGAAAACATGGTTAGAAATAACATGCTGTTGATTATAGATGTCAAGGCCGCCATTGTTTGTAAACATTGCTTTTAAACAGCATGCTCGGTGAAAACAAGTAATTTTACAGGGGGGTACAAACTTTCAGCAATAGCAAAAAATCTACAAGGCCAAGCACCTATTTCTTTGTGATAGTTTGCATGCCTAGGGAGTTGCTAAAGCAGTGACAGAGTTTCTGTAGTCCGTATATTTGCAGGTATTTTTTGCCGGAGGGACGAAAAATGTTGTTTTGGGTCTCGGACCACTATAGATTTTTGGCTTTTACGGAATGAATTGGATTTTTTTTTAACTGCCTGACTGTTGCACATGGGATGATTTCATTACAGATTTGCAATGTTATGACATATATGTTCTTAACAAAATGTGTTTTCTTTTTTCAGGTTGTGTAGTTTGGGATCAGATTTATCAGACATATTGCTTGTAGGACATTGACGGCAGAAACTTGAAATTTAGTGTGGAGTGCTACCTTAACGGTAAGGGCGAAAGTCTATACGAATTACAAGGTTTTCGTCTATACAGATTTGAAAGTCGTAAAATGTGCATGATGTCGTAAAAGTAAATATAGATATACTGTAAGGAATACATGTTTTTCTGAAACTTTTTCATTTTCATGAAAAATAAATTAGGTTTTTATAAGGAATATTTTTAACCAAACCAAACAAAAAAATGCATTACTGCATGTCCTGCAAAAGGTTCCTGACCACCAAATTTTACTCTGCTATTTAGTCTATACAGATTTCACTGGACCACATTGATATGATGTGTCTATACTAATTTGACTATATTTCATCCTATATAATGTGTCTATATAGATTTCAACAGACTTCATTCGGTATGATCTGTCTATACAGATTTCATCAGACTTCATTCGGTATGATCTGTCTATACAGATTTCACTAGACTTCATTCGGTATGATCTGTCTATACAGATTTCAACAGACTTCATTCGGTATGATCTGTCTATACAGATTTCACTAGATTTCATTCAGTATGATCTGTCTATACAGATTTCATACAGTATGATCTGTCTATACAGATTTCATCAGACTTCATTCGGTATGATCTATCTATACAGATTTCACTAGACTTCATTCGGTATGATCTGTCTATACAGATTTCACTGGAGCACATTGATATGAAGTGTCTATACTAATTGGACTATATTTCACCTTGTGTCTGTACATATTTAACTAGACTTCGTTCAGTATGATCTGTCTATACAGATTTCACTAGACCACATTGATATGATGTGTCTATACTAATTTGACTATATCTCAACTTTTATAATGTGTCTTTACGGATTTTTACAAACTTCATTTTTTTGTGTCTATACAGATTTTAAAAGACTTCACTGGACATGATGTGTCTATATTAATTTGACTTTATTCAACCTGTATGATGTGTCTATACAGATTTTGCTTGATTTTGTTTGGTATGAAATTTCCATTTTCATGAGTGACAATTTCTTTTTTTGAATATTTAATTGTTCAACAAAGATATACAAGGTCATCCTCATAAATACTGGTAAAAGCAAATCATGTTCAGAACTTTTCTGAAAACTACATTGCTAATACAGACCAAGACAATTTTAATTTCTTACTGTCGACAATATTCCATAAAAGTGGGCATTCCCTCTACACCAGCAATAACAGATGTATATCTAAGTTCACTCCCTGAAAGAGGAAGTCGTAGCAGTACCAAACCTTGACCACAGGAAAGAAAAGACAATAAATAAAACAGCTGTAAAAATATTCCACCTATAGTTTTATTTTGTACTTTATGGTTTACAAGTAACTCATGACAGTCGTTGATACATGTATTGCTAATAGATGCTCACACAGGACAGCAATATATCAAGTGAAAAGCCAAAAATGGAAATTACATATAATGATATTAATGAGAAAAAAAAACAATTGTGAAGCAGCACCTGGTCCCTCCACAGAAAAGAACATCACCCAAAAAAGTAATTTAAACCTGTACACTGTAACTATTCATAACAATGAGGAAAAACATTTTGTACTTTCATTGTGCCAAACTTCTGTTTCTTCTCCCAGTATGTTTGTGTATATACTACATTGACAAGTTAACATGTTGGTGTCTGAAGCAACACTGGTCTAACCTGATTTTTGTTTCAAAAATTACTTTTTTCTACATTTTTAGCCTAATTGCATGAAATAGACAAGTAAATAAAATATATGAAATAATTGTGAAATTTTATTGGTTTTATTTACCACTTGGAAAATATTAAATGCAAAAAGTAAGAATGATAGAGAAAAGAGAAATGTAAAAAATTACTGTAATAGGAATATGGGAAAAAAATATATTAAAAAACTTCACAAAATTTTGAGTATAGTGGATGATGGCAAAGGATAGTGGACAAAGCAATAGATATAAGATTAAAGTCACAAATGTAACATTCTTTTATAACATGTTAGATTTTCCTGTCAAAACATTAAAAATTATTCTTTCTTTTACTATACTAACAAGCCAACTTAATCAACACTTCCAATTCTTTAAACGACATCGATGTCAAAGATTTATTATACTAGTGTATTATAATTTTTATTACAATCCTGTGACCTCAAACCAGATCTGGTCTACACTGGTCAACATGGCCTGAAACGTTTGTTTCCAGCACTATAAGGGTTTAACCAGTATTTCATAGAGTTTGTTAAAACAAATGTTCAACAAGTCTACAATTAATGCTAATAGAACATTATCATATGTTTGACATCACAGGATTGTAATAAAACCATTACTTAAAAATTATAATACACTAGTGTCATAAAGCTTTGACGTCGATGTCGTTTAAAGAATTGGAAGTGTTGATTAAGTTGGCTTGTTAATATAGTAAAAGAAAGAATAATTTTTAATGTTTTGACTTTCCACATTGCATTTATTAAATACGTTGAATAAATTCTTAAAATGCTCAGTATAGCCTCGCATTTTATTTTTTATATTCAACTGAGCATATTTTTTTTATTCAGCTTGTATGATAAATTCAATAAGAAAATACAATCATGTCATATCCTCCATGTAAATGCATAGCTACTTGAATGTTATTTATGTGTCTGATAATTTTTGTGCCGTGGCACAAACGACTAGATTCTCTTTAACATAATACAGGTAGGACTCTTCAGGGTAAAAATGTCACTCCATTCAATCGACCCTTTCTTGTTTGTAGTTCGGTTTTCTTTGATTCACCTGTAAAAAATGACAAAAGTTTACTTAACTCTGCATTGAAAGCAACATTTATAACATTGAGAGAATCACCATACAGCTATTCCTTTGTTTCTACCAAAATTGTGTTCACTTCAATAAATGCACAAATTTTAAACTTAAATTCTGGCACTAAGTGAACAATTTTGGTTAAGGCTTTCTTCCCAAGCTGAAGTATGTAGTGTTTTGATATGTTTAGATTTAATGTACAGTCAAACCTGTAAGTAAAGACCACCCAGGGGAATGGCAAAATGTGATATTTATTTACGGTACTTGTCAGTCTTTATCCCTTCAATTGCCAATCGGGTGAATTATCTACTCCAGTGCCTAAGTATCAGTATCACAGAACTTAAAAATACTTTAATGATTTTTCTCTCTCACTGTATGAGCATTATGATTATTACATGTACAAGGGAAAATTCCTATTACATGTACATGTCCCATTTTCCAATAATCTCAATAAAAAATCCCCTTGAGATATTTTAGGAAAGCATTTTCAGGGAAGGTTCTGTTGAAATAATAAATATGTGAAATGCTATTTATTTTTGTCTTTTAAGTTAAATACTAGTATGCCTCAAAATTTTTTCCACTGAACAGGGACCTCACTGAGGTGGCAGGATGACTGAGTCTACACATCTAATAATGTTTCTAAGTTCTGACATTCTGAAGGTGGTTAGTAAGATAAATAATTCAACCTTTAAAAAAAAGTTTTCAGAGTTTATGCTATATGTTGTATAAAGTTAAGGAAAAATACATACTAACTTAGTTGAATACCCTGTAACACAGGTTTGTTCTTGGATTTGTTAAGAAATTGTGTACAGTAGTCTTTAGCCTGGCTGTATTACAGTCTAGAATTACATCTTGTAAAATTGCACATTAAGACTCTTTCAGGAGTACCTCTGAGTTGCACTGCTCTTCTACGCTTGAATGGAAGAGAAAAATATTGTTTAAACAATTTATTGTGGGTAAAGGGTTTTATGCTGCTTCCAACAATAATTCAGTCATATCACAGTAGCTGTAAATACTTGCCCTGAGCAAGATTATATCATCTACAGTTTACCAGGTATACTAGTAAATGTTAACTTGCTCTACATTATTTTAATATTAGTTAATCTCATATATAAATGCAATACATGGCACCAAAGAAAATATTAAGGACCAGGAGGTCATCTGCACAAAAAGCATTCAGCCACCCCAAGAGCAGAGACTTGTGACTAATTCCATTGTTCAAATTGAATATTAAACTAGAAATGTGTCATCATGCCACGGATGCCCCCGCAAGCAGCCAAAATTTCAGATGTTATAATATTTAGTTCCAAATTTGTTTGCACAAATTTTTTTTTTCATTTTAAGTTCAAAGCCCTTAAAACTTACACACCATTTTCATACAATGTTTAAGGCACTGAAATTATTCAGTCTTAACCTTTTAAAAATAGCATATTGCATATTTGTAGCCAAAATAATGGCTACATACATTTCCACAAAAGTATGAGTGCTGAAACTGAAAGTTCAAAATTTTTCCACCATTCAGGAAAGATAAGTTTGTCCAAAATCATTGAACCACAACCAAATTCAAACTTAAACTGCTTATTCCTAAGATGTATCTATATTATTTTCAAAGTGAACGGGACATAACTCTGCCAAAAAATCATCAAACCATGACCAAATTTCAACTTGACCTGCCCATTCCTTTGACATATCCATATGTCAAATTTTAGTTGATTATGTAAGACTGTTGGGTAGATAATGAACAGAAACTGTAAATTTCATATTATTTTCAAAGTGAAAGGGTCTTTACTCTGCCAAAAATTATTGAACCATGACCAAATTTTAACTTGACCTGCGCATTCCTTTGACGTATCCATATGTCAAGTTTGAGTTGAATGCGTTGTACTGTTGGGGAGATAATGAACGGAAACTGAAAATTTCATATTGTTTTCAAAGTAAAAGTGGCATAACTCTGCCAAAAATCATCAAACCATGACCAAATTCGAACTTGACCTGTATTTTCTCATGAGATATCCATATATAAAGTTGGAGTTGAATGTGTTGTATCGTTGGGGAGATAATGAACGGAAACTAAAAATTTCATATTATTTTCAAAGTAAAAGGGGCATAACTCTGCCAAAAATCATCAAACCATGACCAAATTCGAACTTGACCTGTATTTTCTCATGACATATCCATATGTATAATTTGAGTTGAATGTGTGCAACCGTTCTTAAGATAATGAACGGAAACTGATGATGACGGAATGACAGAATGACGGAAGGACGGAATGACGGAAGGACAGAATGATGGAACAGGGTAACACTATATGCCCCGGCCATTACATAGCGGGGGCATAATTAAAGTCATGAAAATGTAGACTTCTTCATATTTTCAATGTTTTTTTTAAATATTTCTGACTGTATTGTTAAAACAATTATTGTAATTCTATCAAGTCATATTCACTGATATACATGACAATATGTACGAGTATAATATTAATTTAGTATCAAATCTGAACAATCCATTACATATATAAACATTAGTATACCTTGTTAGAACCTGAGCGCCCTATTTTCACTGAAGCAGTCATACTATCCCTCTGTCCACCTGCAACACATGGGAGATAAATGCTATAATACTTCAATAGTAAGTAGATAATACATATTTACATTAAAATAAACAACTTCTCATTTCATATATGAATGAAACAGAGACACAGTTCGCTGGGGGAGTACAATAGCTTTTCATTCAAGCTAAAAATGATTGTCACTTAAAATATGGACTTTAAAATTGCATGCACAACCTCAGCCAAGTCTAGCACTGCTGCAAACATAGACTTGCAACGCATAATGGTCTTCCAGTTATTCAAATAATCTCAAGTTCGAATACATTTAATATGAATACAAACTTTTAGATTTGTCCTCAGCTGTACAGGTGTCAGAGGTTCTAGAGGTATGACCTTGTAGACATGGTGTTGGCTTATTTGATGGGTTTGATCTACATATATCTCTCTGAAAACAGTACAAATTTATTTACAGATAATTTAGTTTGGCATTCTGTACATATGATTGATTAATACAATTATTTAAAATAATGTAATAAAAATATGTGTGTATAATGTAATCTATTATAGCTCATATGATTTATTAACTATATTGCCTTATGTGGCATCAGAAGGTAACAATCTGTAATGTCCCATGCAAACATCTTGTTTTGGCACCACACAGTATTGAACAAGATATAACATAATGGTCGTAGGACAGGGTGGACCATGAGACAGGGCGGACCGTATGTTTGGACAGGGCAGACCATATCTTGGGACAGAGCGGACCATGACTCGAGACAAGGCGGACCGTGATTAATTTCAAATTTAATACTGCTAGCCTATTTCATTTATTTATTTATTTTATCTTTTTATATCAATGTTATCATAAACAAAACATTGTTAAAAAAAATAAATTAATATAACTTTATACTATTATATACAATGTATATTGCAGTGAATACTTATTAACATTTACAGTACCCTTGCAATTACAAGTATAAAATCGGTAGCGTAAGATAGTGGGAATGGATTGAAAAAATCTTATAAGTAAAACATATTTTCCTTCTGCACTGATGTTAATAAACTTGACAAAATTACCTTAATTGTAATATTTTTATATAAACCATTCATTACATTTAAGTTGTATAAAGGAAAAATGATTATTTATATTAGTTAATTCCTTACTATAGGACAACCAAGAATAGTTTATATACAATTTATACCAATTCGCTAAACAGACAGCATCTTAAAGTTTATGATGTAAACTAACTTGTCAAAGAAATCAAAATTGAAGGAAGTCAACCAGGAGAAAACAGTCAAAAAGGATGACATTATGGATATAATATTCCAACAAGACACTTTCCACCAAAAAAAAAAATTCTGGATAGGTGCGCAAGCCTTAATGGCCCTGAGTAATTGTGCATAATATTATGTGTATACTATACATGTATATGAATATTTGTTAAAATGTATGCTGTATTTAAGTGTTGTACATGCATATATGTTTGTCTGACTTTGTCAATATAATCTCTAAAATAAGTAAGTCATCTTTTCTGTGAACGATGTAAATTTTGTCTACCTTTTGTGTTCATTTTTGTATTGTCACTCATCATCATTTTACGCTATTGTGTTGTATTGTGTTTTAAATGTCAGACGTGAATAACAACCCGTTCTTTATGTGTTGTTAAATGAAGTTTTACCCTCTTATTATTTATATCTGCTGTATGTCAAATTTAACGAACAATGACAATGTTATATCTCAATAATTGGTCAATTATCACCTGCATAATGTTCAACTTGATGCGTTATTAATAATTTCATAAAACAAATTTATTATAAATTAATACACAGCATTAATGTATGTATATGTTTATAATGATATTAAAAGAAGAAAAAGAAACGACACTATCTAAATATTTTTATTACATTAAATCATGGTCCTCCATCGTCTCGAGTCAGGGTCCGCCCTGTCCCAAAATATGTTCCGCCCCATCCAAACATACGGTCCGCCCTAGTACGGTCCGCCATGTCCGTAATTCATAATAATATACCAAAAATCCATTTTTTTTCTATTTTCATTTTTTATATATTGTGGTAAATTAATTAAATGAATAACAAGATTAAACAATTTTATGTCAAATCAATCATTAAATGCGACTAACACTTTTGATTTAACTGCAAATTGCATATTAGAAACTAAGGGAAGTAACTCTAACTGAACCCCATCTGTGAAGAATCAGGGTCAGCTTGGCCCTAAAACGTACTCGGCCCCCCCCCCCCCCGAGTTAGCTCGGCCCTATTCCATCTCGGCACGGGTCAACCCGGCCCATAATTATATATTACTGGTAATGATTACTTTTATTACGTTTTATATGTTTTCATCATAACTTTCATTGTTTAACATTTTCACAGAAACAGACCTCTACTCAAAATTATTGAAAAGTTTTATAAATGAAAGTACCAATTTGTATGTGAATTTGTAGAGATGGAAGAATTTATGTACGTTTTTCCTACTAGTGCTACTACAGATTATAATGAGAAAATTAATTAAAATTTATAACATAGTATGACTTATGTGCTAATAACTTTCCGCCAGTAAAATGGATGTAGATCAACACACAAGAGTATAATCAAATACGTGATTTAATATGAACAAATGGCGTAGTACAGATAAAGGGAGAGAAAAACAGCATTTAGTCCGAAACAGGCAAAGTTCCGAATGTATGTAAATACACAGTCTGACACAGTCTGGCGCTTCCACTTTCCTTTTCCTCCAAAATGTAAAACCATCATAGGGTAGACTGCCCTCCGGTTTTAAGGGGATTATTATGCCCCTGCACTTAAGTGAATCTAGGTTTGATTAATACTACAACAGTCACAGGGGTTTTTGGGGATTATTATGCCCCAAAATGTGCAAATCACTCTAGTACAGAACATAGTCATTTAACTTCTTAGGTAGGCACCGCTTTCGAGACGGGCGACTAGATACATTGGACTCCGCAAAATGTGGAACATCAGTATTAGTTTCCGAATCAGAGCCATTGTCAATATTTCCCTCCTGAGAATCATACGTAACCAATTCTGGATCATAGTCATTTGAACTGATAATAGGTTTCGGAGGTGGAATCGATATTTCCAAAGGGATATCTGGTGTGGCGGGCGGAACGTGAAGCATCTCTTGCTTATTCCTTTCGCTCTCTTCGTCAGAGTCGAACTCAATCGGGGATTCTTTCGTAGAAGCTTTGAAATGTGTCGTTACTTTGAAGCAATCGGAACACTTAACACGATAGGAATTGTTCCTGACCTGGTTACCTATAACTTTACGAATATTACATCATGGAAACTCCAAGGTCACTACAATGTATCTTTCTCGAGCATTTGTTTTGTTGAGGTCTTTTCGAAGATAAACAATATCGCCTACTTTTAAATCAGGAGTAACCGGAGTTTGATTTGAAGGGCATTTTGCTTTTTCACTTTGTACATGATTTGTCGATCTTTGAATTTGTTGAGATGATATTAATTTTTGATCTTCTACAGGAATTTGTCTATTTGAGAACTGATCTCTTTGCATCCACATTTCTCTGGAAGATAAGCCTCGTTTGCGAATGCGCGTGTTAAGACGGGCGGTTATTATCGCGAGATTCATGGGAGTTTGCTCTAAGAATTTCACCCTCCAATTCCTGTATAGCCTTTTCAGCGACCGGGTTTTTGTTGAGGTTTTTGGCACGTCCTAACTCTATTGATATATGGTGTCGTGTTAACAACTGGTCATCTACCAATGCTTTGAAACCTGGAGCTGGATCGGTTCTAATCACAGCGTACGGACCATCCAGCGGGTGAACCTCTGCCAATAATTGTATGATAGCATCCCGTAAGTCATGATGACGCTCACTTTCTAGCAACTTTGTGAATGTAAACGAGGTAACACATTCTCGAACTACTAAAACGAGTTGACGTTCCCGCTTCATTACATCGGCAGCAAAAGCCAATCCAACAGTTTCCGGTGAATCTTCGGAGCTTTGCTCATGCCGCATTTTTGGTGCCTTTGCCAGGGATGCACACTGATGGCAACCTTTAGTGACCATGTCTAATGATTTGTCCATATCCAAAGCACAAAAGTACCTCTGTACGACGGATTTTAATTGGCTGACGGAAGGGTGTCCCAACTTTATATGTATAGAGGTCAAAAGACCGTCGAGAACTTGTCGGGGAACCACAATACATTCCTGACTTGGAATAAACGGCAGGTTCCTTTTAACAATAATGAGTCCATCTCAAGAGAGTGAGGCTATGTTTAAGTATCGCTTTATATCTTTTACATTTGTAAGCTTCTTTGAAAGTCTTGTACCTTGGCGAAGATGCGCAACAGTACGGCGGAGATCAGCACACTCTGATTGAATGGATAACCAAGCCGATTTACTTGTAAACGGACATTTAACGGTTCCATTAAGAACATCCTCAGTAGTAATATGACGCACAACAGATTCTTCTTGCTGACTTATAAACAAACAAATTTGACAGTTTTGATTCGAACATTCGGGTGCGTTTCGGCTAGCGAAATCTGATGGTAAGATTGCTGCTCCAGAAACATGGCGAATTGAAACTTGAAAGCGACTTGCGGTAGATAGAAATGTAGACACACGTGGACTTGATGAAAACTCCCCTCTGCAAAGCTTTTCAAAGGCTTGAACGCATGGCTTACTGTCGGTAAGTATGCATGTAGATGTGGACGATTGGATAATGTAGGGACTGAAGTGCTTTATTGAGGCAGCGATTGATAAGGCCTCAATTTCACATGGTAACCAACGATTCTGGTTCTGACGGAGTTTTGCGCTAAAGAAACCAGCTACATGAAGCTTATCCTTCCTATTGATGTAAAGAGTAGCCCCGAGACCTCTGCTTTTCGAAGCACCATCCGTTACAATCCATAGTTGATCAGACGGACGGGGAAGTGTTATTGAGCGATTGGAAGATAAGGCCATTTGAGCATTAGAAAACGCACTTACTAGGTCGTCAGTCCAAACAATAGAGTCTTTTGATTCACCTCCAGCTATGACTTGTTCTAAAGGAGATAGTATTTCTGATGTGTTTTTAATGACCCGAGAAAGCACTTTGTATGCGCCTATGAATGAGCGCATAGCAGTGACAGTTTTAGGCGGTTGGCATGTAGAAAGCGTTGAAATACGATGAGGACTTGCACGGATACTCCCCTGTTCCCATATCCAGCCGAGAATTGATGCTTGTTTAGGTGCGATAATAGTCTTAGTAGCTGATAAATTGAGGCTGCATGAATGAAGCGCTTCCAAGACACGTTCGAAATTTGTGAGCAACTCCTCTGGTGTATTTCCGCCACAATACAGATCATCTGCGATTTTAGCAACAGTACCATCTTGAACTAGGTGTCCTAACACTCTACACGTGAGTTCTTCAAGTGCTGTCTCAGAACCAGGCATTCCCATTGCTGAACGTACATAAACTCTTACGCCACGGAACGGAGTTGATACACCACAGTACTTCATGGAGTCTTTTGACAGTGGAATTTGGTAAAAGGATTTAGTCAAGTCAGTAATAATTATATACTTCCAATGCGCAATTTGCCTGAGAGTTGAATCGACATCAGGCATCAATGACGGTTGAGGTTTGCTATATCTACCAACATCTGCAAAGGCTGTGACTAGTCGAAAAGTACCATTCGGTTTCTTTACAAGAAAGGACGGATTCAAATACTCGACTGTGATTCCCAACTCCTCGGGGCGTTTGAAGACACCGATACGTTCCAGTTCGTCAAATTTGTCCTGGAGACTAGATAACTGAGATTTTGCATATTGTGGTAATCGTCCTTTTCGCTGAGGAGGCTGCACGGGACCCATATTCACCTTCGCTTCCAATGGACCCAATGCACCATTATAACCTTTAAAGTTTGGATTGAAGACGTCATCATACTTTATAAGTAGCGATTTAAACTGATCTCTCATACCTGTTGACAATAAGTTATTTGGGTCGACACGGACTTGATCGGAATGTGTTGACTTTTTCATGCTTGCATTAGGTAGAGCTTTTGATTCAGATTCATTTCCCACAGGACAGAAAGTAGCGCGTACGTGACAAAAATGTTCATTTTTTAAGAAGCATTGGTTCGTTTGATAAATTCGGTATTCGCAAATTTCCACCAACGCTTGAAACCAAAAATGGCTGCGGCCAAGAGTTGTTGTCCGAGTCCCTGGTATGAGACTCAACCGAAAAGATGTTGTCTGTGGAGCGCATGTCAGACGGTAACATAACATCAATAAAGTCTCCGGGCCACAGCGTAACTGAGGTTGAAGGAGCACGTGCGACGTGAGCACGACGAATAGCGTGATTTGGGGCTGAAGTGCTTGGCGAGCCGTAGTAGAATATGTGGTCATTTCCAATAGACACCTCACGACGAGCTGGTCGTGTGGCAACGTCATTTACCTCCATGAATGGAATACCGGCCAAAACATCTGTATCTGTTCGACAACTAACCCTTCAAAATACAGGTTAAGATCATCGCGTGTAAATGTTATCCTAGTTTCCCCTACAATGTTTAAAGGAGAGGAACCATCGGCTTGGTGAGCAGGTTGGGAGCTAGCGGTGATTTTTGCGTTCAGTTGTGTTGCAGTTAATGCACGAATCATATTACCGGTGGCGCCACTGTCAACAGTTAAACGAATCGGAATATGGCCACAGTAAGTGTCAAGATAAGGAGACTGTGGAACTTGAACACGGTAAGTAGATACCGACACTTGTCGAAACTCTTCCTCGGGATCGTGTAACTCAGAATCATCAAGAGGAATATCATCAATACATGTAGCGCGGGCCCTTGCCAAAAACTGTCGGTCCTGTTGCGGCAAATAAGTACACTTACTAAGGAAGTGGCGATCAGGACGTCCTGCGGCTTTGCAAAGCGGACACGACTTTTGGTTGGGTTTAGACCAAGATGGACTTGACTGCGGCTTTTGTCGTGGAAACTTTCTGACCGTTGTTCTCATGGTTTTGGCATCCTCTGCTGAACGCAACTCTTCTAAAAGTGAGTCCAGTGCTTGCGAAATTTCAGGTTTTATAGAGGCTAATGTTCTTGCTCGTAACTCAGTACCGTATCTCTGTTTGACAAGTTTAGGTAGGTCAGGGTTTATCAGTCTCAGCCATGTTAAGACAACTAGATTTTCAAGCGTTGGAGAGAGCTCCTCATCTTCGGTTATCGGTTCGTCATGGTGTTTGATGCCCATATCCTGATGTAACAAGCTATCTTCAATAAATGCGGTGAGTCGTTGGAACAAATCTTCGGGTCTCTCTGTAGGATCATATCGGATAGAATCGAAGTCAATAAAATGGCCACCAGTAATTTGGAAACCATAGTGGAGGCGGATTGTTTGCCAAATATCATCAACGGAGGTAGAGTTTTTAACAATAGTGTTTCTGGATATTACTGGACAAAAATTTGCTATCTGTCCTAACATCAACTCAAGAATGTTGACCTTTTGCTCACGGGTTTTCCTGTCAGCTTCGGCTACATCCTCACCGTCGTTCACAAAGCCTCTGTGGGGTGCAGTTTTGGTCTTTTTCTGCCATTTAAGCCCAGCCACGAGAAACGGAGCAAAGTTCTTGTCTAAAGTAAGGCTGTAGATTAAGTTCTGTCTCCAGTTTTCAAATGAGTTTACAGTTTCATGTTTGGTAAGGCACCATTGTTTTGGCGCGCGGGTAGAATTTGCCATTGTCAATGTTTTTGTTTAATACACTTGCGTTCACGGTAATAATTCTATTACGAGATGACGTACACAGGTCTTTATCGAGCGTGGGACGTAAATTCGCTGCCACCACGCCAGTAAAATGGATGTAGATCAACACACAAGAGTATAATCAAATACGTGATTTAATATGAACAAATAGCGTAGTACAGATAAAGGGGGAGAAAAACAGCATTTAGTCCGAAACAGGCAAAGTTCCGAATGTATGTAAATACACAGTCTGACACAGTCTGGCGTTCATTCATTCCGTTGAAATGGGCAGTTCAGATGTTGTAAGAAAATAATCTTGCTTATCTACAGTAGCCTGAGTAGGTTCATTAATGAATATACTTGCAACTTAAGATAAAGATATACTTCATTTATTTTTTTTGGTATAGCTTTGTTAAAATTTCATACAAGTGTCCATCGTATTATTTTAAAAAAATTTAATATAGCTTTAATGGGGTATACTGTATTTGGGTAAATTATGGTGATAGGAAAATGTATATTTGGCTATGTTTGATTTTATCTAAGTGAATGTTTATATTGTAATTCATAATAAAAATAGCACTTTTTGTTATAAAACATTTATTTTTAGTATATTTGGACATTATTTTTAGTATATTTGGGCAATATTTGGGTGTATTTGGGTATTTCGTGCTGCCCGTTTTTAATAGAGGGCCGAGTTGACCTGTGCCGAGTTGGTATAGGGCCGAGTTGACCCTTTACCTCTGTGAATTATGATGAACGATGATTATGTCATGATTTTGACAAGTAAGAGATTCATCAATATCAATTTATCACAAAAGACTGTTGAATTTATTGAAAATGTGACCGCAAAGATGAAAGATGTTAGCTTTTATCTTGTAGAACCATTCTGGGAAAAGACACAGACACTTGGGGTTATGTGCGTGGCTCCCCTCCTTGATCCGCACTTGTATACACCTTGTGTATTTTTATCGTGCAAACCGTACGTCCAAATATTTTTGCATATTATTACGACCTGGTCACATGTCTTGAACATAAAACTTGTTTTCCGCTATTTTAACAACGTTTTAAAAAGTCCCAAAAATATCATAATTTCATAAAGATAACAACGTACGCTTTCCTTTGATGTGAGACGACTGGAATGAGTTTCGGCACTGTTTTGCGCTTTCATTTTCATGCCGAGCAGCGGTTACTTCCCCTAATCAGAACAGAAACCAAATCAAGAAGACTGACGGAAAGGGCCGAGTAGTTGCGATTGAATTTCTTTTTCCTAGCGATTTTCCCGCTGTAATTTACGGGAAACATTCCAGTCGTCATGAATTCGGAAAGAAGCATGTGACACGGTTAGGAAAATGTAATTAAAAGTGCAAAGCTTGGAAGAAAGATACGATCTGAAAATAACATGCATTTATTTATGAAAGGGATATATGCATAGACTGATTTACACCAGAAATAAATGGCATGCGATAACATAAATACCTGAAATATATGTAGGTCAATTGTGTTTACATTTCGAAGCTTGGTATCTTCTGGAAATTGAAGCGTTGGTAAAAAATTGACTTTTTTAAAACGTTATGAAATTCGGTTGAAACTTGTTCACGTGTTAGACACTTAACCGTCTCATACTAATATAAGCAAAAATTTAAAACTTATTCTTGTAATAGATAATACTTTTACTTTTTTATATTCAAGGGCGGAGAAGGGCGGGGTCTATACTCTAAGTGTCTGTGGGAAAAGAAACCTTTTAACAAAACAAAATAACCATACCCTTTGGACACTACTAGATCTACTTCACATATCCTAGATGATATCCAACACTGTATTACCTTTCATACTCGTCTAGTTGTAAACATCGGCTTGCGGCCATTTTCCGTATGTTTTGCTGACAATCGTTCTGTCAGACGGTTTACGGCAGATAAATTCGTATAGACAAAGGGCATGAAATCTGTATAGACTTTCGCTTTAACGGGCATTAACACACTTAATTGCTGCAGGTCAGACATACATTGATTTTCCCGTAAACTTACATTATAAGACATGGTCCCTAATCCTACCTTAAATTGAGTCTTCATGCTAAAGAGATGATTTTTCTAGCAGAATGAAATGCCTGACAGATAAAAATGATCCGGTTATATATAGGGGTAGCCAACCAAATTTTGGCAAAATGATTTCAAAGAGGATTACCCACCTTTTTCATTGAAATTTTCTGCTGATCACAGGACTGACATACACTTCTTATAAATGCAAATATCCAAGTCACAAATTATCACGGAGACTTATGAAATATTTCATTTTCTTGGTTTCCTAATTAGTTTTCATACTAAAAAATACCCCATTTTCATCCAATTGAATTTTACGGTTTTCCCTGCACTTTTTTCAACCAATTGCTGGCCATGCTGCAATGCGAGAGCCTGACCTGCACTGTTAATTCTCACAGTAATTGCAAAAAAAATCCTAATTAATAACAGACACGAGTTGCATTGTCATCTGTGCCACATTTTTTTTGCTTTATAAATTAGTTTAGGTACTTAACATTTGCAGCTTTATATGATTTACAGGATGGTGAAGTGTTGCAGTTTCTATAGTATAAGATTGGTGCTGTTAATACAGAAACATGGAGAAAGATAATGAATTCTGGCAAACTTTTTCACTTTTAGGAAAATTTTGTCATAGAGAGCTAAATAGGGAGAAATCTTTGTTCAAAACCCACTGTTGAGAACAAATGGTTATAACATGTATTTGACTGGGGGTTAGTTTTAAACATATTTACCCTCACCGCTGTGGGTTCGAATCCCGACAGGGACTTTGGATTCTTTCATGTGAGGAAGCTATCCAGCTAGCTTACGGAACGTCGGTGGTTCTACTCAGGTGCCCGTTCGTGCCTGAAATAATGCCCGGAAGGGCACCTGAGGTCTTCCTCCACCAGTAAAGCTGGAACGTCGCGATATGACCTATACTGTGTCGATGAGACGTAAAACCCAAAACAAACAAACAATAAACATATTTATTTATGTATGATTGTGAAACAAGTTATAATACGTATATTACTCACTTTTGAGTATGCTTTCTAGGAACTAACCAGCACTGGTGTCATATGAGAAAACGTGGTCGTGGCCAGAGTAGGGCTCAAACCAATGGTCCCTTTGTTGACAGGCAGACACTTCAACCACTAGGTCACCACTCTTCTCTTTTAGGGGAATGATGCAGAATTTCTGCCTTAAATTAGCCTTAAAAGTTTCTAGTTCCTTGTGGTTATATTAATGTCTGATGAGGTAACATGGCCATGACAGATACCATGTGAGACAAAAACCTTAGCCATCTCTCTTGGAATGTATCTGAGCATTAAGGCAGTTCCATCTTATGATAGATAAGTCTGTCAGTTAAAAAAACAACCCAATATCGATATATAGACAGTAAGAAGTCTTTAAGGATGCTAAATATCTTAAATGGACTAGTCCACCTTACATTCTGGACTGTAACAATCATCATATTTTAGAAAAATAGTATCACTATGTACTGAATGAATAGCGAACAGAGGACATCATGATCAGATAGCATGGATGTGCAGGCTGATCTTGGACTGCGATTATTGCATACTTGAGTAGAATCTGTTGCAACAGCAGGCTAAATGATGATCAAAAACTAAAATAGCATTGAAATTGTCTTTTGTATTTACTTTTTTACCTGAAGTTTGTTTGAAGAGTCAGCAGAAGGAAATGATTTGCAGAAAACTCAGAGCGAAATAAATGCATTGATACCATACATTAATTCAGGTCCCTACAATAATAAGTACATGTAAATTCCTTTTAATTGACACTCCTTTGTTGGACTTAAAATGATAAGTAAACGATTGATTTTCCTTTAATTGTTTATCCATCTCTAGTGTCTAGACCCCTTTTTATGCCACCGCAGCATCTGCGATGCGGTGGCATATAGCGATTCACCTGTGTGTATGTATGTGTGTGTGTTTGTTTGTTTGTTTGTGTGTGTGTGTGTTATATAGATTATATAGCGAACTTAAAAAATCTTCTTGTGAAAAACCACTAGTCCAATTTCAACCAAACTTGGCAAGATTGATCCTTGGGTGAAGGGCTTCCAAAGTTGTTCAAAGAATTTCATTCCATGCAGAAATCTGGTTGCCATGGCAACCAAAAGGAATTATAAGAATAAATTTAAAAAATCTTCTCGTAAAGATCCAAAAGGCCTAGAGCTTAGATATTTTGCATAAGGTATTGTCTGGTAGACCTCTACCAAGATAGTTCAAATTATAGCCCTGGGGTCAAAATCGGCCCCGCCCCGGGGGTCATTGATTTTCACTATATATACATATAGTAAAAACATAAAATACCTTCCTGTAAAGACCCTAAAGGCCTAGAGCTTAGATATTTTGCATAAGGCATTGTCTGGTAGAAGTCTATTAAGATTGTTCAAATTATAGCCCTGGGGTCAAAATCGGCCCTGTCCCGGGGGTCATTGATTTTACTATATGTACATATAGTAAAAACTTAAAATCCTTCTTGTAAAGACCAAAACGGCCTAGAGCTTAGATATTTTGCATAAGGCATTGTCTGGTAGACCTCTACCCAAATTGTTCAAATTATAGCCCTGGGTCAAAATCGGCCCCGCCCGGGGGTCATTGGTTTTCTTATATGTATATAGTAAAAACTTTAAAAAAAAATTCTTCTAGCAATTGACAAATGCTAGAGGTTAGATATTTTGCATGAAACATTGTGAAGTGAACTTCTAGCAAGATTGTTCAAATTATAGCCCTGGGGTGAAAATTGCCCCCGCCCCGGGGGTCATTAATTTTCAATAATTTTATATACATATAGTAAAAAATCTTATTGTCTGAAGGTACAAGGCCTAGAGCTTTAATATTTGTTAAATGATATCAATTATAGGTACTCTACCAAAGTTGTTCAAATTTTGCCTCTAGTGTCAAAATTAGCCCTGCCCCGGGGGCCATAGGTTTTCCTTATATGTATTTTGTAAAAACTTTAAAAAATCATCTTCTCTAAATTTACAAAGGCTAGAGTTAAGATATTTTTCATGAAACATTATGTAGTGAACCTCTAGCAAGATTATAGCCCTGGGGTCAAAATTGGCCTGCCCCCCCCCCAGGGGTCATTGATTTTCACTATGTACATATAGTAAAAAATTAAAAAACCTTCTTGTCTGAAGGTACAAGGCTTAGAGCTTTGATATTTGGTATATAATATCATCTATAGGTCCTCTACTAAAGTTGTTTTAATTATGCCCCTAGTGTTAAAATTGCCCTGCCCCAGAGGCGATAGTTTTCCTTATATGTATAGAGTAAAAACTTGAAAAATCTTCTTCTCTGAATTGAAAAATCTTCTTCTCTGAATTGACAAAGGCTAGAGGTTAAATATATGGCATGAGACTTTGTGAAGTGAACTTTTACAAAGATTGTTCAAATTATAGCCCTGGGGTCAAAATTGGTCCCGCCCCAGGGGTCATTGATTTTCATTATGTACATATAGTAAAAAAATAAAAAAATATTTTTGTCTGAAGATACAAGGCATAGAGCTTTGATGTTAGCTAATAATATCATCTATAGGTGTTCAAATTTTTCCCCTGGTGTCAAAATTGGCCCTGCCCCGGGGCAGTGATTCTCATTATGTACACATAGTAAAAACAGAAAATAAAACAAATGTTTTCTGAATGGGAGAAATCTACAACTTAGATATTTGACTTGAAATGTTGTTTGGTGGACTGTATCAAGATTGTTTTGAATTAAATCCTTGGGTCCAAAATTTTGCCTTGCCCAAGGGAACAAATTTTGACCATGTGCACAGTTTTAGTTGTAAAATTGAACTTTGATATCAGGTGACCTAGATTTTGATGATGTGACCTACTTGCTTGTCCTTTGATGTACAGCTATGAAATTTGAACCATGTGCACAGATTAGGATGTAAAGTGAACTTTGATTTCAGCTGACCTACATTTTTACAAAAGTGTCTTACTGTGTTGCATTTGAATGTAGTCATGAAATTTAGGCTGTGTGAAATATGACCTTCACCACCTAATTCACTAGACTCGAGTGCATTGATATATTCCTAGTCTGATCTTTTATTGAGTTAACAACAGATTTAACCACTAATCTGATATTAAGAATTAGATAGGTCAGGGATCTATGCATTATGACAATGTTCAAAATTGCATAGAAACAAAAAAAAATCTGTTCCTACACTACTATTTAGTGTTGTATTAATGCGGTGGCATAGCATTTTTTCAAATGCAATCTTGTTTGTTTAAGAGATGATGGAATACATGTATAATATTGTAAGGGACTGTGAATATTTATCAAATAATTTACTTTTAGGACCTTGTAATGAATATATCAGTTTAAAACAAAATATGTTTTATGACAATTTGAATATCAAACTAGCATAATTAATTGACAAGTGAGGTAATACTGTTAAGTCAATGCTTAAAACTTACCTGTCAGGATTCCTGAACTTGACCTGTCAGGATTTCTGAACTTGCCTCAGCCATTCATATTTGCTGATTTTATTTGTTTCGATAATTTTCCGGTAAATAAAGGAATTAAGAGGTTCTAGGACTATATAAGGCACACTAAGGAGGTTTATACTTCAAGAAATGATTTATTTACTTACTTTTTTATCCTGGCATCAAAATGGCCGATAAGAGTTGTCTACCTTGATTCAAAGCATGAAATGACTTTATTTTCATAAACATATACAAATACTTACCATTTTACATGTAAGAACAAAGAATGTAATCCTTAATTACCTAAGACATAAGTTACTTTCCCAATAGTTAGCTGAAATTGATGTATTTCATAATAATCTTAATGACCAGTATGACCTCTAAGTTTGTCAGGAGGGAAAATTCAAATTTCTGGCACGTGGAACCTTTTTATATCAATTGTCCCCTACGGCTTGGCCGTAGCATAATTCAGTCACTATCCGTTGGATTGTCTCTTAACTTTGAATGCACGCTTCTTTCAATGACCCGAAGTGCAGTGCACAAGAATCATTACTCTGCACTTTTTTTTGAGTTATTGCCCTTTGTTAATTTTCATACTTTATTTTTGTCCAGGCCATTTCCCCTAAACTAGAAAAGCCATGGACTTGAAACTTCATAGGATGATAGATCTTATAAAGAAGAAGTGCAGTACTCTGCACTTCTTAATTTTTGAGTTATTGCCCTTTGTTAATTTTCATACTTTATTTTTGTCAGGGCCATTTCTCCTAAACTAAAAAAGCTAAGGAATTGAAACTGCATAAGATGTTATGTCTTATTAAGACTAAGTGCAGTGAACAATATTTGAGCAATAAATTGGTTCTCTGCACTTCTATTTTTTTGAGTTATTGCCCTTTGTTAATTTTTTGTTAATTTTCATAATTCATTTTTATCCATGTCATTTCTCATAAAGTATGAAAGCTATGGACAGGAAACTTCATAGGATGATAGATCTTATTGAGATGAATTGCAGTGCACAAAAAACAGTATTCTGTACTCCACGATTTTTTAGTTATTGCCCTTTGATAATTTTCTTATTTTATTTTTGTCCAGTACTATCACCTAAACTATAAAAGCTATAGACTTGAAACTTCATTGGATGATAGATCTCATTGAGAAGTGCAGTGCACAAGAACCGGTACTCCGTACTTCATGATTTAAGAGTAATTGCCCTTTGTTCGCCTTGTTCCGGTCAGACACTTTAACTCAGAGTTATGGCCCTTGATAAGTTATGCATTATGCGTATAGAGTAAAAATCGTTTCTGCGCTACTTCTCTGCAACTACTGGCTGAAATTCAATGAAATTTTATGGGAACCTTTAAGACCAAGAATAGATGCGCATATCGTCGCCTTGTTTCGGTCAGACACTTTAACTCAGAGTTATGGCCCTTGATTCGTTATGCAGTATACATATAGAACAATAATCTTTCCGCGCTTCTTCTCTGCATCTACTGGCTGGAATTCAAAGAAACTTTATTGGAACCTTCAATACCAATAGGAGATGCGCATATTGTCACCTTGTTTAGGTCAGACACTTTAAATCAGAGTTATGGCCCTAGAGTGATGGCAGTATGCATATTGAGCAATAATCATTTCCGCGCTACTTCTCTGCAATTACTGGCTGGAATACAACAAAGCTTTATGGGAATCATCAATATGAAGAGGAGATGCGCATATCTTTGGCTTGTTCCGGTGAGACTCTTTAACTCAGAATTATGGCCCTTGATAAGTTATGCAGTATGCATATAGAGCAATAATCGTTTCCACGCAACTTCTCTGCAACTACTGGCTGGAATTCAATGAAACTTAATGGGATTTTCAATACCAAGAGGAGATGCACATATCGTCGCCTTAATCCGGTCAGACACTTTAAATCAGAGTTATGGCCTTGATAAGTAATTCAGTATGCATATTGAGCGATAATCGTTTCTGCGCAATTACTGGCTGGAATTCAACGAAACTTTATGGGAACCATTAATACTATGAGGAGATATGCATATTTTGTTGCCTTGTTCAGACCAGACCCTTCATTACAGAATTATGGCCCTTGGTAAGTTTTGTAGCGTGCATATAGAGCAATATTGCTATTTCTCTGCAACTGCTGTACTGATTTTAATAAAACTCTATGGGAACCATTGATACAAAAAGGCAATTTACATCTCATTAGATATATAACTATTTAAGAGTTATGGCTCTGTTATTTTCCTGAATATTTTTCATGTACAAAGAATATTACTGTTTACAACATGATAAATATATATAAATAAAGCCTTACGTCTTCAGTTGTTGTGTTAGTAATAACCAGTGATGGCAAGGGATATAAGTTCAACGAATTTGCTTGTTGGTAATATAAGAGTTTTATTAATCCTGATGTAACATTGTTACAATCAATTCAAACGCCACTTACGTTAAAGGTACATGTACACTGTAAGAGCATTGTTTATAAATAACCTATTTTCTGTTTTATACATTTTTCTTAAACTATTTTACATTATTTTCAAAATTCTTGTCAACAGCTTCAAAGCAACCCTCTCATTCAGTTAATTTTAAACTTGAAAATATGTTTTACGTCTAATTCTACAATATATTCATTGGGGTTGTACTATATCTAGGGTATTAACACAAGTGAATAAAATACACATCATTAATATGCATTAACATCATGGAATAAAAAGTATAAAAATGTGTTTGTTGAAAAGTAAAAGTATTTACAGTACAGTAATTATATACAACAATTTTCTTATCACAGTTTAATACACATTTTTTTGCTCAGACAAAGTGAGCTTTTGTGATCACAATTTATCCGACATCCGTCCATCTGTAAACTTAACTTTAAGCAAAATCATCATATAAACTGCTTAGCCAATTTCATCCAAACTCCACAGGAATGTTCGTTTGGTGGTCACCTTTTAAAATTGCTCAAACAATTTAATTCCATAAAAAAGCAAACCATGGCAACTGAAAGAAAAAACTTTAAATAAAAAAAAACCTAAAAACCAATTAGCTAAAGTTTAGATATTTGGCAGGAAACATTTTCTAGTGAACGTCTACCAAGTTTGTAAAAATAAGAGCCCTAGGGTCAAAATTGGCCCTGCCCGGGGTGGGAGTGTGGGTCATTGATTTTCCTTATATGTTATATAGTAAACCTTAGAAAGTAGTCCCCCTCATAGCCAAGGAGGAAATTTTGGACATTTGACAGGCTAAAAATGTCCTCAGGTTGATGTTAGGGTAACTAGTAACCGACACTGAAAAGCCTTTTACTATATCTCAATTCATTGAGAAGTTTCAGCACTTTGAAATCAGTTTTGATGGGGGGAAAAACAATGCAAAATAGTGATTTTTGGCAATGTTGAGACATCCCCCGTTGTCATGGTAACAGGAAATTTACGATTGAGCATGCTCTTACAGAGGCTATGGTGTAGTCAACAGTTGTGCCAGGTTTCATCAGTTTTGAACCTTTTTTCATAGTTTCATAGCAGTTTGAACTTGTAACAGGAGGCTTCTCAATGAAAGCGGCCATTTTTCACAAAATGCTCATGGGGTAAAAGGTTAAGACCGTGCTTAGAATAGGTAAAAGAACTTTTTGTATGGCATGTACTTCAAATCACATCGGTTCTTACTATACTATATGAATATTCAAAATGAATATTCAAATAAAGAATGGTGTTCATAATTCTTCTCACCCTGGAGTTGGCATAACACTTTGGTTACAGTTTTAAATGGTTACTTTTTTCAACATCATATTTCAAAAAGAATATTATATTCAAATAGTATAAATGTTGCTGTCCTTTCTAGCTTGTAGTTATTCCAACTTTCTTTTACTGTCCTGCTTTTGTCATTTCCACATTTTTATCATAACTTTTATGTCCTTGCATTTATCAGTACAGATAGTAGTAAACTCATATGAACCTTTGCAGCATTGTTTTTCCTCCTTACATTAAGTGACATAGAATAACACTGTAAAGCGTCTCCAGCCCTACCTTCTTGTTCCATGCACTTTCCAAGAATATTTAGAGCTGTTTCCCGATGTCCAAGGTTTGGTTCTCCTTTTATGGTCCTGATAAGTTTTAAGAGCGCAGCTTGTTTCTGATCATGTCTCCCTAAATGGCTGTAAACTTTGTATTGTAGAAAGTAGAGGAAAGAGAGGGAATCCACTACGGCACAATCCATCCATTCATCGTCTTCTGTACGAAACATTCTGTCCTCTTCTGTAGATCTACAAAATTCATATCTGAGTTCAGTTGGTACACAGTGAATTTCACACTGCAGAAATCTTACACATGATGCTGTTGTATACTGTAAGGCTTCTTCATTATAATTGTCACATAATTGGAAAAAGTCTTGTCTAAATAATTCCTTCTTAAATCGATGACAACTACAGATAGGCTCAACAATTTTAAGATCATATCTACTTTCAATTTCACTGAGTACTAGGTCAGCTTTTTGTATTTTTTGAACGCAGTATAAGATTGAAGCTAGTTTAAGTTTACTTGATGCAACATCTGTATACAGACCAAGTGAGATGAGTTTGAGGGCATCGGCTGATACAGTGTTGTACTGACAGATGTTGCATGAAGCCAGGACAGATCCAAGTGATGTACAATACCATGGTAACAGAAGAAGATTGGCTGTCTTATCCAATCCTTCATATTGAATGTAGAGTGCTTTTGATATATAGTTCTTTAATTTTTCTACAGCCTCATAAGGACTACTGTCCTTGAGAAGATTAAAAGTATTTATTAGTGTGTCAGATATTTCGGCAGCCAGATTAAATAATAGATCTCCTGAAATAAAGTCACTTGTCTTGATTGGACATAAATTATTAAACTTGGCATGAAGCCTGGAACCTAGAGAATCACATTTAATCCCAAGTAGTGCCAGTCCTTTACTGTTGATAATATTGTTGAGTATTTCCAGGATATATGGTTTGACTGCAGGTGAAATTTTTCCCCTCATTAAATTGTTCCCAGGTATGATAAAATGTGGACAATTTTCATTAATGATATTGGTGTAAAGGAGATATAAACACTGTGTTAGACAAGGAAGGAAGTTATTTTTTCTCCAGATGTTAGAATGTGTATTAGCAATACAGTGGAAGACTACAGTTTTACACATGTAACTGGATATCACATCTTGAAAGAATGGAGTAATATATGTTTTTAAAATCATTTTCATTAGGACATAACAGCGAATCTGTGTAATATTCAGGTTGAACATTAAACACCTTTCTGCTAAAGATGTTGATATTCTCCATTCAAGTTGCTCATGTTTACTGCCTCTACATCCAACACCAACAACAAAGCATCCACTTCTGCTGCAATATTGTTTCATTTCAGCAGATGGCCATTGACCTTCATCTTGTTGATCCAACCATTGTCTAGCTTGTTGCGGCCATGTGGTACAATGTAGAGCAAACACTTCATCTCTATCACAGTAGCCTGGTTGTCCTTGATCTACATTTGCTGGCCCATGTATTTCACAGGCATTAAAGATAAAAGATGCTAAAGAATTCTTTAAAAACAATTTTCCTGTTCTGTCTTTGAAGACGAATTGATAAGTATCATCATTAGCAGAAAGAGGTACATCATTTCTCAGACAATGAAGTAAACAATACCCAGGAGATACAGAATTATCTTGAATCATCAAGAGATTACGTACACCAGGTATCCAGTCACTCCAGTCTTGTATCACAGTAGATATTTTACTGTATAAAAGTTGATCTATGTCTGATTGCATTTCTAATGTAGTTGTACCTTCTGATTGACTCCCAAAAATGTGTGTTAACATACCATTCTCATCAAGTAGTTGGTGATTTATGCTCCATAGTGATTCTCTCAGAAGCCATGTTCTTCTCGTCTTCAGTATAATTCTCTCATCAATACCTATATCAGCCAGAACCTCTGATAATTTCATTGACACAGTCTGAGTGTAATTTGGTACTTGATACATTCTGAAAATATCATTAATGTTCATCATTTCTAACATATTCAATTTCTTTATTTCTTCTTCTGATTTTCTTATCTAAGTTACCATTATCAGATTATTATTTATTTTTTTTTTTTGTTAAATTGTCAATTTTTCCTTTCTAGAAAATTGTTTTAAAATAAGTTGATATCATCATCATCGTAATCATCATGATTATCAAATTGTGTTATTTTATAAGAAATGTATTATAGAAATTTTAGATGTTTTTATTTGGTGAAAATTGATTTATGCTGTGTTCTTTTTATAAACAATATGAATTGAAATTTTAATCAAATCCAAAACTTTGACTTTTTAATCAACACTAGTCTGTTTTTGACAAATTTTCCCATATTATCTTTAATCAAATACAAAACTTGACCTCTTTTTGAAATAAATTTTAACTTGTCAGTAGTGTAGAGAAATCATTAAATTTTTACCTTTTTGCTTATATCTGCAGCAGATTTAAGATCATGAAGTCACTAGATGTTCAGTATTTTAAAGAAAAACAAATTATTTTAGAAGTTTACAATAAGAGTAATTTGGTTTTTCTGGATTTATTTTTAACTTCCTCTTTCTCTTTTAATCTTAAGAAGGTAACTCTGTTGAGCAGTTATTTCATATCTGACATTTGTTGTCTCCCTTTGTTGAAGAAAACTGACTGACATTATCTTCGTTTGTTGAAATTAACTGACTGACAAGATATAAGGACAAGATAAGATAAAGATAAACTATACTAAGTTCATGCTTCATGTATGCTTCTTGTATGTAAAAGGGACTCCACTGAGTTTTTTGTCATACCGGATTGAATTTTTTTTTCAAGATTAATGTTCCATTTGATGTAGGTCTAGCCCATTAACTTTTGTTATAAAAATCAGATCATTGGCTCAGTTTGTTTTTCCAGAAAAGTTATTATTATTGTGAAAAGTGACACAAAACTGTAACTAAGTTACTACGCTTTTAACTCAAATTGAGCTAAGAATAGCACAAAAGTATAATTTTTGTGTCGCCTCAACAGACAAGTGGCAACATATAGAGATCACTTCTCCGTCGTTTGTCTCTCAGTCTGTCTGTACAAACATATACATGTATAGATATTTAGGGGGCTATGGGAACAATTGGTAACTGTAAATTTCCTTTGATGCTTTTCATTCAGTAAGCTCTTATGTGGCCATTTTTTATGTGGCTAAACGAACAAAATAGCGAATAAATTAGTAACCACTTGGATACCAAACTTTGAGCAAGTCCATCTGTCCGTCACAAAACTTTTATGGACTACTCCTCAGAAACAATTTCATCAAAACTTTACATGAATAATCAGTACCAAGTTTAGTTGTGCATATCTTCGACATATTTTGGTTCAATGATTTTTGTCAGAGTTATGGCTCTTATATTATTATTTTAAGTTTGTCCAGACTAGTCTTCTTATACCACTAATGCAATTTCGATGAAACTTTACAGGATTGATCTGTAGCTCAAGTACTTGTGCATATAACACGGATTTTTGAATAATGTTTGGCCGAGTGATGGCTCTTGAATATAAAAGGTTGTTTTTAGCTCGACTATACGAAGTATATGGAGAGCTGTCCTACTCGCCCCGGTGTCGGCGTCCGCGTCCAGATTTCAGATTAAAGTTTTGGTGCAGTAAAATATTTTTCACTATAACTTTCTTAACATTTCTTAAGGTATCAACTTCAAACTTCAAATATATGTCCTTATCATCAACCACATCTTATGTGACAAGGTTCATAACTCTAGCACCAATATTTTTCAGATTTATCTCCCCTTGAACTTAGAATTTTTTCCTTAAAAATACTATTTTTTACTGTTACTTCTTTATTTCTTAAGGGATCAACCTCATACTTCAAATATATGTACCTTATCATCATCCCCATCTTATGTGACAGGGTTCATAAACTCTAGCACCAATATATTTCAGATTTATCTCCCCTTGAACTTAGAATTTTCCTTAAAAAATATTATTTTTACGGTTACTTATTTATTTTTTAAAGGGATCAACTTCATACTTCAAATATATGTACCTTATCATCATCCACATCTTATGTGACAAGGCTCATAACTCTAGCACTATTTATTGCAAGAATTATCTCCCCATAAACTTAGATTTTTTTACTAGAGAAAAATGTTATTTTTTACTATAACTTTTTTTAGTTTTTAAGGTATCTACCTGAAACTTCAAATACTTTTTCCCTTTTTATAAATTAATTTTTATGTACAATGTTCTAACCCCTTAAAAGCAATTTTTACGATTTTTTTTTTTTAAAATTTGGTTTTTTCTTTAAAAATATTAAAAACTCTTTTATTTTTAAAAGGTATCTATTTCAAATTTCAAATAAAAATTTTTCTTACATTACACCCCCATTTTTTTGTGTACAATTCTTTAACCCCAAGCATAACTATTTTTAAATTATTCCCCATTATTTTTTTGGAATTTATTTAACAAATGTTTTACTAAAACTTAAAAACCATAATTAACAGAAGGGTTTTTTCTTTCATATTTTGTCCCCCTTTTACGCGTCCATTTATTTTTTTAGCGAGTTTGGGTTTTTTTTTTTCCTTTTGACACCCCTTTTTACCCTCAAAAAATTTTGTTTTTTGCCAGCTACATAGAAATTTGCCCAGACTACTCCTCAGAAAGTTCAAACTTAAACAGGAATGATCTGGAATAATGTATTGTCCTTAGATTTAAATCGCAATTTGCCCTGTTTATATGATTTATGTGTCTCCTGCTACATAGTAGCTCTAACATGCAATTGGCTATCATGATGTGATCACTGCTCGCTTTTGTTTGAAAATATAAACCTTCACACTTAATGTTCTTAACATTCAAGGTCAAATTTTTAAAACATTCATGAAATTTCAATGCAGTTTTCGTTAGTTAAATAAACACATGTCATAGAGGCATTTATGTTTTCTGAACACACATTTTATTTCTATGTTGATGAGTAATCCAGTCAATGAATTTATGATTTTCAATTTACTAGCCCAAATTTCCAGTTTTGAATTTATTCTACTCTATATTTAACTAAATTTTCTTAAATTTTTCACTGGCTGAACTAATTTTCACCGGCCATGGTCCACTGGGCCAGTGCTAAATTCGATGACTGGTAATCTCCAAAGTTATGAACAAATTAAGGGCAGGCAGCTTTAAAAATGATAGTTCATAATGATTATACCATAGAATTTTTATATTGCATTAATAGACTAAGAAAGAATAGACTATTTTCATAACTAATGCAAAGAAAAAAAATCGCCATATTGATATAAATACAGAATTTTCCTGCAAATTTGAAATATATTGAAATTTTCTGCAAATTTGAAATATACTGAACTTTCCTGCAAATTGGAAATTCCAAAAAAAGCTTCTGACCTTTTTGTGTTGCCTTGAAAAGGCGACATATAGGGGTTACTTTTTGTCAGCCGGTTGGCGTTGGCGGTGTTGTTTGTCGGCCGTCCCCTAAAGCTTGTCCGGGCAAAGCTCAGTTACTATAAGTTTGATTGACTTCCAACTTGGTATGCATGCTATCTTTCAATAACCTAAGTGCAGTGCACAAGGAATAGTAATCTGCACTTCTAAATTTTTTGAGTTATTGCCCTTTGTAAATTTTCATACTTTTTTTTGTCCGGGCCCATTTTTCACTTCAAACTACAAAGTATGGACTTGAAAACTTAATAGGATGATAAATCTCAATAAGAAGAAGTGCAGTGCACAAAAAACCGGTATCTTCACTTACCTTTTATCCCCCCGCCGATTCCAATCGGCGGGGATATAGTTTTTTGGCGTTGTCCGTCCGTCCGTCCGTCCGTCCGTCCCCCCCCATCCGTCCGAATTTTCCGTTTTCCGGAGTAGTTCTCTGCAACTACTGGCTGGAATTCAACGAAACTTTATTGGAAATCATCAATATCAAGAGGAGGAGATGCGCATATCGTCAGCTTGTTCACGGTTCAGACCCTTTAAATAAGAGTTAATGGCCCTTGATTAGTTATGTTAGTATGCATATAGAGTAAAAATTGTTTCCCGCACTACTATCTCTGCAACTACTGCTAGAATTCAACGAAACTTTATGGGAACTTTCAATACCCAGAGGAGATGCGCATATCGTCAGCTTTGGTCCGGTCAGACACTTAAACTCAGAGTTATGGCCCTTGATTAGTTATGCAGTATGCATATGGAGTAAAAATTGTTTTCCGCGCTACTTCTCTGCAACTACTGGCTGGAATTCAAATGAAACTTTATGGGAAACTTTCAATACCAAGAGGAGATGCGCATATCGTCGGCTTGTTCCGGTCAGACACTTAAACTGAGAGTTATGGCCCTTGATTAGTTATGCAGTATGCATATAGAGTAAAAATCGTTTCCCGCACTTACTATTATGCAACTACTGGCTGAATTCAACGAAAACTTTATGGAATCTTCAATACCAAGAGGAGATGCACATATCCGTTGCCTTGTTCCGGTTCAGACACATTTTAACTCAGAAGTTATGGCCCTTGATTAGTTATGCATGTATGCATATAGAGCAAATATCGTTTCTGCGCTACTTCTCTGCAACTCATGGCTGGAATTCAACGAAACTTTATGGGAACCTTCAATACCAAGAGGAGATGCGCATATCACTGCCTTGTTGGGGTCAGACACTTTAACACAGAATTATGGCCCTTGATAAGTTATGCAGTATCCATATAGAAAAAAATATTTGTTTCCTCACTACTTCTCTGCAACTACTGGCTGGAATTCAATGAAACTTTATTGGAACCTTCAATACCAAGAGGAAATGCGCATATTGTCACCTTGTTCGGGTCAGACATTTTTAACTTAGAGTTATGACCCTTGATAAACTTAGGCAATATACAACCAGAGCAATAATCGTTTCCGTGCTACTTCTCTGTAACTACTGGCTGGAATTCAATGAGACTTTATGGATACTAAGAGGAGATGTGCATATAGTCGCCTTGTTCCGGTCAATACTTATAACTCGGATTTATGGCCCTTTATTAGTTATGTAGTATGCATAAAACTCACTGGCATTTCCAGATATTACTATTTAAAACAAAAGTTATGGCTTTGTTATTGCCCTGAATATTTATCAAGTTCCAAAAATATTACTGTTTATGCCCATTATTAATATAGAAATAAAGCCTTATGTCTTCAGTTGTTGTGTTAATAATAACCAGTACTCGGCGGGGGATATAAATTCAACGAATTTGCTTGTTTTTTGAGTTATTGCCTTTGTTAATTTCCATACTTTATTTTTTGTCCGGGCCATTTCTCCTAAAGTATAAAAGCTATGAACTTGAAACTTCATGAAATGATAAATCTCATTAAGGAGAAGTGCAGTGCACAAGAACCTGTACTTTGCATTTCTTATTTTTGAGTTTTTTGCCCTTTGTTAATTTTCTTACTTTATTTTTGTCCAGGTCATTTCTCCTCAAGTATGAAAGCTATGGACATGAAACTTCATAGGATGATAGATCTCATGAAGAAAAAGTGCAGTGTACAAAAACCGGTACTCTGCATTTCTTAATTTTGAGTTATTACCCTTTATTAATTTTTCATATGTTATTTTTGTCCAGGCCATTTCTCATTTAAATTATAAAAGATATGGACTTGAAACTTCATAGAATGATAGATCTTATTGATAAAAGTGCAGTGCACAGAAAACTGCTGCTCTGCACTTCTTATTTTTGAATATTGCCCTTTGTAAATTTTCATAATTCATTTTTGTCCCTTGCCATTTCTTTTAAACTATATTGTTCACAAGGCGACACATCCGACTCGCAGAGTTCTAGTATTTTCTGTATTGAAAAATAAAACAGTATGTGTTTATGTATTTTCATGGCTGTTATTGAATTTGCTTGATTGTTTTCTGTGCCGTTGAAAAGTAAACCCATGCACATATGATCATATCTCTACCCTCCTTGTATGTATAGAAACTCGTATTGTCATCCCACTGAAAGCACTGGCTGCATCTTTCCTCTGCCTAAATTTATGTAATAGACTTGAATAAAATTTAATTTTTTGATTTTTTATAGAGATTTATTACCATTTTTTTTGATGAAGGTTTTATACCAATAACTTGTGTGCAAAATTTTCAGATCAATTTGTTCACTCTGTTATACTAGAATAATCAATTCTGTTTTACTTGAATAATTATTGTTATTGTGTAATATGAAAAGAAATCATTTTAAAAGGATTTTTCCCCCAGTACAATGTAAAATTTTCAAATTTTGGCTCAGATATGACAAAGTGGGTGCTTTAAAATACTGGTCTGAAATTTAACATAATTATTTATGCTGTCTATAGGACATTTCTTTTTACACTAGATTATCAGCACGTTTCATTTCTATAAATAACAGTTTCCTCACCCCTTTTAAAACTATTTTCAGGGCAAGCAACTGATGTCAAGTAGTTTGGGGGATCATGTGCTAGGAGTTGGTCAGGTATTTGATATTTTAAATCCATTTCCCCATTAAATTTGTGAATTGGTCTGGTCCACCTTTGTATTTGGAACTGTCCATTCATAATATTAGATGATACTGATCAGAATGCTCATAATGAATGAAAGTGTCTTTTCCAATATAATGTTTGTATTGTTTTGTAACCTGTATAAATTAATAACATATATATGTAATTTGTAATATGCAATAATTTAACTTGTTGTTTCATAGATTAAAAAGAAAACAGGTATAGAGCAGATTCAGTTTTGTGTGAGTGTAAAGGTGCGTACTGTACACAGTAGTGCTAGATAAACTCAATAATATGAGAACAAATTGTCACCTTAGTGCTCTAATGGAATAAGTCCTAAATTTAATGGGAATTAATCAGTTATTGCACTAAGTTGGCGATATAATGTTAATATTGTACTTGTCTTTAGTTTTATTCAATAATAGACAGTAAAAATTTTATTAACATAATAAATGTATGGCAAAATCTGAGAGTTACAAGTTACCCCCCCCCCCCCCCAAAAAAAAAAAAAATTAAAATAAAATGCTTGTTAATTTCTAAATTTCTAAAAGAACCACTTTGATATGTTCTCTTCCAGTTAATTGATGTTCAATGGAAAGTGGGCATGGCAATGAGCTCAGACACATGTAAACAATTAAACTGTCCATTTGTGACCTTGACCTTGACAGTAGCAGAGGCAGGGGGAAATCTCAAAACACATCCACTAGAACTTACGATGGACCAATTTAGGGTAAGTTAAGTTAGGCGAAAAGTAGGATGGCCTGAATACATGATCTTTTTTATGAATAATTGAAAAAAGTCTGGTGTATCTATCGTAGTTTGTTGAAAATTTTTGTTTAAATTCAGTGAGTAGAATGTTTGGATTTATTTTTAGATGATTGTAAATGGAATCATATTCCACAGAGATATAAGCATTTTGCTACTATCACTGAATCAAGTGATATTTTAAAGGCACATCATGGCTCAGGAAATAAATTTTTACTTCTTTAGAAAGGGCAAACATGAACTTTAGAACATGTTAGATGCATGTTGCCTGAAGAATGTAGCACTTAATGTGAAATAATGTGTTGCAAAAGAAGCAAAATGTAAACAAAGAAGTTTTTTGACTACTATAATTACTAAATCACTATATTTTTACTAACTGCTAAAAAGCAACATAAGAAAAAGATGATTATAAAGTAATTGGCAATTGAGTAGCTTTTTTGAAACTAGGGAAGTACACCAAAATTTAATCTGAAATGCCTTTGAGACAAAAATGAAAACATTTCTGGTGCATAATGGCCAGAAATATTAACAAAGCAGCAGAGTTAATACAAATGTATTTGATACTGAATCTACAGTTTTTAGATGCACTGGAATGCTTATCCACTGTCTATTTTTCCTAGATATAAATCCAAAGTTAATAAAATGTCATTGGTATCTATATAGGGCAGTGATAAATTCCACTTGTATATCTTATAATATTAATAATCTTGCAAAATATAAAAAGTGCCTTACATCAGTATTCAAGTCGCATGCTTCCATTCATAGATTTTAATTGATAGATATTATAATTAGATGGTTGATGTTATTGTAATTTTAATAGGAAATGTAAAATTTAATTACTTACTTCTTCAGAATTTTACCAATCAGTTGAAGGAAATAGGAAAAGTGCTGGAAATGGTCTGAACAAGAGCAGAAGGAGCAAAAAGATGGAATCTCTATCACTTAGAAGAATGCAGAACTAATAATCTCTATATCCCAGAGGACTGCATTATGTTTAATCTTAGACATTATAAGAGACTGAAAAATGTATCATTTACAATATATCAACAGTCAGTGATATCCGCATAGCCAGGAAAATAAATGTACATGTTGAAGAGTATTATAATGTATTTAGATTGATTTAGAAACGTCATGACTGAAGTAATGCAGAAGTGCGCCTAAGGTTTTCGCTAGGAAATTTCCATATGACTTTTACAGTGCTGTTATGATTTGAAACCCTGCAAAAAACATGAACTTACTTGAAGCTTGTCTACATGTACATGTTACTGCTTAACAGTCAATTCTGATTATGACTAGCACTAATTTTATATGACAGTCTTTATTCCAATTCACCTTGTATAATTTAACTTTTTTCTCTTCATTTACTGCAATAGGTCAATAGATAAGATGAACAAGTGACCAGCTTTGTATACAATGTATAAGGTATACACAATAAGCCAGAATATTCTGAGGCAGAATATCACAACAATCTGAGGCATCATATTTTAAACTTTATTTAACTGAAAATAGTATACATGTAGATATTTATTATTGTATGTCTAATAAAAAAGTATAAATTGTGTAATGTTTTAAAGTGTTTTGTATGGATAAAATTTCCACTTAAGTCAAATGCCAACTGACATTTTTCAGACTGTCAGAGTATGTATGTTTTTTATGCTGAGGTCAAGAACTTGGCAGTCAGTCCAATGGCCTTCCTGGATAACTTACCAGTAATTACCAATTTCTCCTTAAGTGACAGACTAAATAAAACATGATTTCTAGTCTATTACATTTAATCCTGTCTGGAATTATTTGTCAGTAGTTACCAGCTACTATTGTAGCAAGAGTGCATGATCATTAAACTAAAAGATACTTCATTGTATAATTCTATAACTATATCTCTACAATAAAGTGTAGATAAGTATGTCTGACTGTTAGGGATTGTGTTGACATTATTATAGGTAAAACAATAGAACAATTTCTAAATCAGCGATGGAACACAAAGTTAATGACTATCAGACCCAAAGTTTTGTGTCGGCAACCACTATAATAAAAATATGATGCTTTCCCTATACAGCTATAGTATTGTCACAGAAATAAACCATGGATAAAATACACTGTAATTGGATTCAATCACAAGAATGCTTACAGTTAAATCTGAAACCAGTTAAAAGTCATGGCAGAATACTACAGACCTACAGAATACTACAACACTATAATGGGAGAGAAGAGCAAAAATAATGAAAATTTGAACTTGGAGTATTTGGCATTCTAAAGTGACCCTAATCAAGTCAGCAATTATATTCTGTATGTTTGTCTCAAAACATTTGTTCACATCCATAAAAATAAAATCTATTTTAGAGTCATTGTATTATGTAACCTTTGATTTTATGACCAAAATAATTAATGACAACTTCTTTGCTTAAGATTACATTAGATGATTGGAGCCTGCAGGATGCAATATTAAAGACCATGTCTTTGGGTTTGTCTATTATGCTTAGTATATCTTTTAAGAACCTTACACTGACTCCCGGTACTGACAGAAACATCTAGCTGGACGGTAACTGTTTACAGCAGTAACGAGGCTCTGCAGAGTTTCCTCTAAACAGTTACCCAAGAGCTGGATATTCCCATCTGTACGGACAGCCGGTGTTCGATTCCTTTTTCTTGCATATTACATCAATTATTTTCGGAACAGAAATTACAAAAAACTGATATTCTCATTACGCTCTTTATTCTTATAGTAGCATATGAACTTGCAACTTCATTCATAACTGTAAAATAACGTCATTGTAAGTATGCTGTTCATTTATAAAAAGTGCGCGGTAATGACATCATATAAAGCATGCGACTTATCTTACATGGGCGTGTAAGACAAGTTTTTCTAGCACCGGAGTAAATGGTTGATAACCCGGTCTGATATGCAAGAATAACCTTGTGTTTCATTAAAAATATCAATTATGATTGCTGTGTCGTGGTTGTTGTTGTTGTGGTAGTCATGCAAAACTTTTAATGACTAGCCTATTACTGTATTCCTAGAAATGTTCGCGGATACAATATTTCGCGTTTTTCACAACGTCGGCATTTTCGCGGATACAAACTTTCGCGGATTTGTAGTAACCGCGAATTCTGCGAACATTAAGTAGCTACGGCCTAAAGAGGCTACGTTTCTGATACATTTCCTCGCCAGTTGGGTACATTTAATTTTTTATTTTTTTTGTGGAAAATACCTTTTCATCTATTGACTAATCGAACACAGACAGTTGTTCCGTGAACATTTTTATCTTATTTTTAACTTTTTTATTAAGTGATTCAGTATATATAGTCAGACCCGTTAGCTTTTATTCTCATTTGAATAATAACTGACTTTATCTTCAAAATGTCGATACGTTTTTTTACACAGTATCGTACTGTACATCGCTTTTATTATAACAACATAACAGCTGCTTATCAATGTAGCACTTGATCGCTATTGTACTTTTAACAAAAGATTACACCTACTCCAAGCAAATAAAATCCAAGCCATTCAATGTACGCAAACTGTAAATGCTTTTGTATACGCCGTGACTACCGAATAACGTCAATAAGCATGATAATTACTAATAATTGACAATTTATTTTCTTCAGGGTCCAAACAGGTATCTATAACATACATACATAATTCTTTACACATTTCTATAGCACCTGTGTTTATATGGTTTTTGTGTAAGTAGATTATAATAAATATTCTGCACGTTTATGTTTTTATTTGGTTGAAGCTAGGAATGTTCGCGGATTTGTTATAAGTGACATATTCACGGCTATAAAGATTCGCGGAATCATGCCTATCGCGAAAAGCGCTAACCTTAAAACGCATGAAAAATCTTTTCTAGGAATACAGTATTCAAACATTCTTAAAAGTTATGAACATGGAACTTAAAATGCTTGCTTATCTTGCCAAGGTGCAGTTGTTAGACAAGAGCCATAATTCTGAAAGCAATATTTCTAGAGTTATGCCCCTTTTTAGCATACAATTTTTCAAAAAAAGGTTATTGTAGCAGATGAGCCTTAACACCACATGCAGTGCTCTTGTTATTAAATAATTATGAACAGTTACTGCAAACTTGGCTCACAAAACACAATGTGGTAAGACTATTGCTGATAAAAGTTAATCATCTAATTTCTTGTGAGTTAGAAATTGAAATCTTAAGACAATGTCATTGTGTTGAGCAAAAACTGTTTCAAAGGTCCTGTTCACCATGACCTTGACCTTTGCTTTATTGACAAATCATGCATCTTCTCCTGATCTCTCCTAGTCATCCTAAAAGAAATGCTGGTATACAAAAATCTTTTACCATCTTTCATGCTTTTAATGGAAAGCATTTTCCATATTTGGGGTATTTGTATCTTGCTATATACTCTAGACAATTAGAGATACAATCAAGTTGTTGGAACATAACCATTATTTTTCTGCATCATTCTGGCTTCCTGAATCACAGTGTCATCACAATAATCTTCAAGAAAAACAGTAGCCAAGTTCTTTAACCTAACATTCTTCGACAGTGATAACCTCATCATGCACTCTACTATGGGCAAGCACGTTATTTCGGCATGAGACTCTTTTGTGACAAGATACATTAAAGTTGAGACAGCAGATAAAACTGTGTCTTCTGAGTACCGCGACAGGCATCCTATCACCAATTTAACACCTCCATTATCAATTATATGCTTCCTGTTCTCCTTTTCAGCACTTGCGTTACACACACCTCCCACTGCAAACTCAACAAGTTCTTCATCGGATTCCTCCAGACCATCAAGAAAGAGATCTAGTATATTCAATGTTTTAAAATGTTCGTAATTTATCGGATCATAAGCAAAGTTTGCAAGGTTTGCCATTATCTGTTTCTTGGCTTCAATGTCATCGGTGTTTTGATATTCGTTGACCAGTGACTGGAGGTAGCTAAATCTCCCTATGCCATAGGGACCTGTTTTCTTTTCAAGGTAACTCTTTGAACTGAACATCTTTGTTTAAATCTGAAATTTAAAATAGAAGATAATTTACCCTAAGTTGCAACATGCTAAACTTGCCAATCATACATAATGTTTAAAAGGTATTGAACTCCCCGCAGGTACCGCGTCTTTGCCTATTCCGGTGTAATCAGAAAATGTGTTTCATTACACACTGAACGCCACCCATTAACAGTTTCCACTATTTAAGTGAAAGTGGAAGAGCAACTTTTTGATTTTGGTTAGAAATATTTTCATATAAACTCGTGTTTAATTTCATGTTCTAACAAGTGAAGGTCATCTGTAACTGTAACATATACCAGTACTGCAGTAGTGCTCTCCATTTAACTTTTTAAGTTCCAATTCAAAACATGACTGTCTGACAAAGATGTTTTAAATTTAAATCATTGAGTTATTCTATGGATTACATATACATTTAAAGTCAAGATGTCACAGTAAGGCACAGTTTAATAAAACAGTAAACACAAGTTCGTTTTATATGTACACTGAGTTTGCTGGAAATAATAAGAATGTACCATAGGGGACCATCCTAAATATAACTTTAGAAACATAAAAACCTCCCTATCATTTTAAAGAGTCTGATTCAGATGTATACATGTAACAGAGACGTATATATTCTGAATCTTTAGAAAAAAAAACATTTATTCTGTTAAATTAACCGAAGAGTGTCTTATCCGAAAATCCAATACTTCAGTGTTTATCTCGCGAAAACATACGTCATTCAAAACTGGTGCATGTAAAATTAAATGTGTGGCACTTGAACTATTAAATTGCTAATATTTTAATAGAATATACTAACCTGGATTTCTAAGTAACACGTAATTTTGCGTAATCTGCAGTAAACTATAAAAATATTTTCGTGAGAAAATTTACACGTCGTGAAAAATGAGTTAGGCATAAACACACTAAATTGCTGCACTTTTATACTTGCAGGAATACGCTAAAATCCTTTGGTGTCTGGCTGGGACAGAAAGATACAGTTATCTTCTGTCCCAGGTGTCTGAAACAATTTTTCATGGGAAAATTTCATTCATGAATGAAAATCCGTGTACATGCATATAACCTTTTCTGAAAAAAATGCGGAGAGTCGTTTAGTAATTTTTATGAGTGACATATACTGATGTATTTATATAATACTTAGACCACGGTCTTTCAAATTGAAACATATTTGAAAGTGTTAGACCCGGTTTTGACACTCAAGGCTTGAAGCACGATGTTTTGAATATTCTGTTTGAAGTTATAACCTCAACTCTAGTACATGTGTAGCGCAGTGGTAATAAGCCATCACTGATCTGTACCAGTAACCCTGCTTCCATCTACCAATCTATCCCCTAGATTGACAATGTCAATACGTTGGCACACGGCGGGATAATTTCCACCTCGGGGGCATTTAGCAGGAGATTTTACTATCTTTCTGTGCCATAGGATGGGGACTTTTAGATCAAGATGAGTATATACATCGTATATTTGGTGTTACACTTTGCAAATATCGAGTACGCTATGTACAGCATGAATGTGTAGGCCTATCAATTGCACAACTTATCGAAGTCATGATAAAATAAACACTCTTCAGAAGGAATCGTTCATATGGGTTATCGTTTGTGGCTACAAATTAAAATAATTGATAGGCTTAAAAACAAGAGAGAATACTCGATATATGCACTCTTTATGAAATTTTAGGGGTTATGTCCCTTTAGTAGTTTATTGATCATTAAAAGGGACTACTCCATGACCAAATATTTTTCCACACAATTTGATGTAGGTCTATACCAGTAACTTCTATGTAAAATTTCAGCCTATATTAATCATGACCCGTTTTTCCAGAATAATATTTTTAATATTGCAGCTATACTTAGATTGAAAAGATACTTTTAACTTAAATCGGGTTTAGAATCGAAAAAAAAAATCGACTTAAAATTTGAGAATATTTCTTTTATTATTTTTTTTTCTGTAAGTGCCTCAGTTGATCAAAGTATATTTTCAATTTTCAGGTTTGTATCCTTTGGGCCTCATGTGATGGGGTTCCTTTAACGTAAATATACAGATCAATGGGAGGCTGTTTTGCGAACAGCAATTTCAATGATGCTCCATATACGGAAGAATGGTTCTGAACAGAACATGATAATTATAGAAAATGTTTAGTCATTTTCACCGGAGCTTGATTAAAGGTGATGGTCCGCATCATGAATTATACTTATTAAAACACAGTAAAACTACTACTACATTACGAGCCACATACTTTAACTTCAATAAAAGTCTTAGGTAGACATGTGAACTGTAAATAGTGATCCTTTCTCCTTTGGTTTTATACTTTTCTTATGGGAAGCAACGATTTTATGCCATTTTTACAAGGAGTTTTAATAATATAATTATAATAATAACAAAATTGAATGCATGTATATTCGAGAACTGTACGTTACTTATGTACAATAACTTCTCATTATTATCCTTAAAAATAATATGAAAATATAAACGAGGTTGTAATTACAATTTGTTGAAAGTTAACGATTTAAATTTCAACTCCATAGATACTGTCGTGGAACTTTTTATATTGCCGTACAGTATACATGTATATGCGAGAACTTGTAATAGCTCTTGTATTTCTAAAATACACTTGTTCTAAAAATATTACTTTTTTTATCGCATCCCATGGACAAAATGCACCTCATATCATTTTCTAGGTTTTGCTCATTTTGATACACTAATATGAAGAGTGGAAAGTGGACAGTCTGTTTATGCAAAGCCTAATTTCGCATGTCATACTTGCCATTTATACAGCATCAAAATGTCCGTCATACTAAGTATGAAAACGTGCACTTGTCAGTCTTAAATAAACAATGAAGATCAAGGTTTTTGTATCCTTTTTATGATACTGTACACAATTGATAGACATTCATCATTTGTTTAAATGTTCGACAGACACCCGACAATAAAATGATGCATATTTTCAGCTCCCGTAAGCCGTATCATTTACATTGCTGTATTAAAGGGACTCCACTGAGGTTTTTAACATGACGGGACTAAAAAAAAATTTTCGAGATTAATGTTCCATTTGTCTACGTCTAAACCAATAACGTGTGTGCAAAATTTTAGATCATTTGCTCATTCTGTTTTTCTAATTAATATATGAAAAATGATGTAAAATTGAAAAGCGTCTTTTCACTCAAATCTGTGTTAAAATTAGCATAAAAACTATTTTCAATTACAGTATGATTTTTGCGTGTGTTTCTTAATAAGCCTTTTGTTTTAAGTGCCCAATCTGATCTATGTTAGAAATTTAAATTTTATGTTTTTAGGCTTCAGGATCTCAGCGGAGTTACTTTAAGATAGTCACGCATCGTCTAGTTCCTATTTGGTTTTAAAATTATTCTTTATTAAGCATAGTTGTTATTTTAATATCTAAAACAATTTATTGAAGAATTGTGAACAAATTAAATACTAAAATTCGTCAACATCATCTCCGATATTTCTAAATAATGCTAGATACTGAAGCGGAGGTTACCAGCAGTCTTTTCATGTTTATGTATAATTTAAACCTTATATTTATCATTAAAGGGACTCAACTGAGTTGTTTTTTTACATTAAGGAACTATAATATTTGTTCGAGTTTTATGTACATGTACTAATTAATGTAGGTCTAGACCGATAATTTGTGTGCAAATCAGATCATATTCTCAATTTTCCAGAATCACAGCCCCTTTATTGTGCAAAATGACCCTAAAAAAATGAACAGCATTATAAAACCTTTCGTTCAAGTCTGACTAAATCGCACCCAAAACTGGATTTCAATACAAATCTGAGCATCATTCGAGATTATCCTTAGCAGAGTTTTAAGTGCTAAACTTGTTGTTTTTTTCTTTTGGCCTCAGTGGAGCTCCTTTAATGAAGAATATAAAAAAATCTGTTCTGGCTCAAAACAGTGTAGTATCAGACATACGAGCGTTTTAAACAACATTTCAACCCATAAAGATGAAAACATATCAAATACGTATGAAGTCTTTGTCATTTACATTGTTAGCTATGTAATGTAAAAATTTTGTTCAAAAGCTGCCATATTTTTACCGCGTCGTGCATTTTGGTCAATATATTTTTAGTTCCACCGTTTTGAACAGACTAATAAAGTTGCAATATAATTCGTCTTTTTGATATCTAAATTACCCTCCAAAATCTCTCAAAAAACGAAAAGGCGATGAAGTAGTACACTCAAAACTGTCCGTACTTGTTTTGAAACAGTTGCCCATATTCAGGAAGAGATAATGTTATATTTGTTTCAAACAATGCTGAATTGTTCTCATAAAATAATATTTTGTAAAGAAATATCCATCATTAGAAGCATTTTTACAAGGTATCATTTTCTCCTCGACTTGTTTCGCATTTCATTTTATCTTGTTGTGCTTTCATTTCCTTGACACCCGTGAAAGGAGTCAACGAAGCCCAATGAAATCTCTAATAAGAGGTCTGGGTAATGTTTTAGTATCATATAGAAACCGGAAGTTAACACGCGCCGCCCGTGCTAAAGCACGCGGAATATAGCTAAGCGTCTGAATGAAATGATTCAGAATGGCGCTTTTTTCAACCATCTATTTTTTGTATTTATAAAGAAAAACATACAGTACTTACTTAAATTCCGGTCGAAGTAAAACATTGAAAACTTACATATACATTAATTAAATTTGTGTAACTTATAATATGTTAAAATAAAAACAAATCTGACAGAATGACTCAATAGAAAGAAAGCAATAGCCCTTCAATTTTTTTATGTTCTTCAGACCATGGTTTCAGAATATTCAGAATATATTCGACATTTCTTTTCAATACTTTGCTTCCCAAAAAGTGTTGCATTTCATCTGTTCAGGCGACATGTAACAAAAATTAAGAACGAGCAGGCACATACTTTGTCGTCTGCTCCCGTAGCGTGAATGTACCATTATAAATTCGCGAAAGGTTTCATTTACAGCAAAATGGTTATTAATCAACTTCCACAGTAACAAAAGTATCATGAATTTCAATAAACTGCCTAATAAATCTTCTTTTCTACAACGTGTCCAGTTAAAACTCTTCATTAAATGTCTGATGACCAACAGAGCGGAGTTTCCAATGAATTTTGCATTATCCGCGCCATCGAGAAAAACTGCCTTTGTCGGGAATCGTTTATTTGACGGAAAGTTACTTTTGAAGTTATAACCTTGTTGACACATATTACTGGACCGGCTGAAAGACCCTCGGACAGGCATACGGATGCTGATCGAACTGAGGTCATGACCCACTGCTGTTGTAATCATTGGCAATATTTGATGATTGGCATTCGTCAAAGTAGATTTTGGTTAATATAAATTGCATTCTTGTCATTGTATTTGACGACGGTATTTGCAAATTTATACAATGTTCTAGCAAAATTGTATGTCTCTTTCAACTGCGCATGACCGGAGAGATTTAACCAGCACCGAGAAAAGAGAATTTTCGTCAGACTTTTTCTGATACTGAAATCATGTAAATGTTTATCATTTGGTTATAAAATGTTTATAAATGGTTTTTTTTTTATTTTAATTATGGCGGGGGGGGAAAAAACCCCTTTTTAAAACAGATTTTTATCTTTGAAGGTAAGACCTTTAAATACTCTTCTGCTTCATTTGTCTGCGCATTAATCTAAACTTTTCTAACCCTTAACTTGCTGGGTTTTTATAATAGATGCAACCGTGTTTTGAATTTGAAACGTTAAAAGGATTTCAATATCAACACACATAATAATAATAATAATAATAATAATAATAATAATAATAATAATAATAATATTATAATATTTTCAGAAATTTCCTTCGGCCATAAGAATTATTTATCTTTCATGCGAAACAGATTTAAAAAAATGAATGGAATGATGGCAAAATGTAAACTTATT